CCGTCCATTCTGGAATGGGCAGGATCTTAATTAGGGCTTATTTTGGGGGGGTAGGGCTTATATTGGCTGCACGTGTAAAAATCAAGCTAGGATTTTCAGGGCAAATCGTAATTTCAGGGAAACAGGGTATATGTATGGTGCAGGTATATATGTATATGTATATAGCATGTGTATATTTGTGTTATGTATGTCTTGGGTAGATATATACTTCATCTTGAGAGCAGGCAACAGAATTCCATTTTTAATGTGGCCCTGGGTGCTCGCAGTAAAAAAATAAAAAGACAATAAAATTATCTTACCTTAAAAAACTGGACAGCCACTTGTCTGAAATTGTATAGGGGTTCTTGCTTGGGCGGGGTGGGTGGGTATTGGACTAGATCAGTGATCGCCAACCAGTGGGCTGAGGATCACTGAAAATTTTGGTGGCCCACAGAGAAATGTCACCCTCAAAGCAATTAATCCAGGCTGCGTGGGAACACAAGGCTTGCGTCGCTTGCATTGTGTCAAAATGTGCACCCTTTTTAAAAACATTTTGAGGAGCTGAATTGGGTCACACCAAGAAAGGTTTGCATCAGATGTGCAAACTGCACAGGGTTTTGAACGGCCATCCTGTTCTGACCCAGCAGAACCAAGAAACAGATGTCCTGAAAACCCCCTCTTTGTTTAGTCACTGTGAATTCATGGCATTCACACACAGAAAAGTCCCGGCAATAATTCTCCCAAGGGTTAATTGCAAGAACAGGCCTTAGCAGTCCTTAGATAATTGCCAGGCCAAGAGCTTCCAGTCGCAAAGCTGTAAATTAAATATCTGGCAAGGAGTCTCTGTGAGGAACAACTCTGATGAGCAAATCTTCCAAAAGAAAAATGAACTAACTGTCTCTTGCAACCACCTTTTTGCTTCTATTTATTCCCCAGGGAGGGGCCATTCAGCGTCCACGTGTGCCTTTCCTTCCAAGTTGGCCCTGTTTCTTAATTGTTTTTCCTCTCCTGACAGCTCTGCGCATACGCGCATCTGGAATAGGCTCCAGCTGTTCTTCTTCCCCACTTATCTCTGACTCCGTAGGCAGCTGGGAAATGATGGAGGGCCCTAGTCCTATCTCTGCTTCCGACACAGAGCATCCATCAAAGCCTTCCCCAGACTTCAGGACTGGCCCAAGTTCCTCCCCAACCTACTCGCTGTCCGAGTCTGCCACCAGCTCTGCTGGCAGCTGGTTGGCCACAACATACTTAATGAAAAGTTTTGTGCTCTGCTGGCAGCTGGTGGCCCATTCCTTCTGTTTAAGAAGAAAAAATAAAGACAGCAGAATCCAGTGGCACAGCTAAAATATTTTTATTTACATGCTTCCTTAGTGCTTACAATGTTCAAAGCAACCCACAGCAGAACAACATTAAATACAGAACAAGTCAAAATCTAGAATTCTCTATCTGGCTATTAATGCAATTGTTAAACTAGTTGGTATCTGGGTAATAGTTATATGGATCTATTGGTATCTGGATAAAACACCTGCCTATGGAACATTGAACGAAAACAGAATTCAGCAAAAGTTGGCAACCAACACATAACAAATGGACTTGCACTGCTGTTTTATACAGTTCTTGCAACTTCCCACAATCCCAAATTGTACAGACTAACAATGATTTCCAAGCATAACTGGCAACCTTTAAAAAAAAACACGGGAGCCTAGATGTTAGCAAGAAAGCTCATTTACTTGAAATAGTGAATTATTTGTGCACATATTTTTACAGTAAAATGTACATTGGATTACATTCATGGGCTGCAATTTTGTTTCTCCACATTTTCATTTCTTACTTGAGTGTAAGAATAAATTTATAAGAAGCCCATAATTGCTCCCCTGTTATTGGACTAAAAATGCAACCACTATGAAGAAACTACTTCAAATATATTCCTTTTGCTGGTTTTTTTCTTCTACTTTCTCCTGAAATCTAGCAATGATGTGAAAAAAGAAATGCTAACCACCCAACGTTTTTTTTCCTTTTTTGGAGAAGCCGTACCAGGGTCAAAGTAGGGGAAATTATCTCACAGAACTGAGATGTTGCTCAGATTTGGGGAAAATCTTTCAACATTAGGCAATAATATTCTCAAATGTCAGGGTTATGTTTGCTTTGAACATCCAAATCCTAGAATAAAAACACAAGACACAATTGAATTGAATGAAGGATCAGGTTCCCGTCAATCAAATGTCAACAGATTGGGAGAAAAGTGAATTGACCTCCTTCCTTGCTCGCTCACGTGAATTATAGATAGTCCTCAAGTTATGACAGTACAGTTAGTCCTCGGCTTATAACAGTTCATTTAGGGATGCTGCAACTGTCATAAATGTGAGGCGGTTGCCAACAGTCTGAATGTTGATCCAGTGACTGTGGGAATGCTGCAACGGTCGTAAGTATGAAAAATAGTCATAAGTCACTTTTTTTCGGTGATGTTGTAACTTTGAACTGTCATTAAATGAACTGTTGTAAGTTGAGGACTACTAGTACCTTCTGGGGGGAGGGTGTCCATTGTAACCTCAAATGGCTGCTAAGCAACCAGTTGTTAAATGAGGACTTGCACAGTATTGAATTAATTTATTTTATTCTGCGAAGACACAACTCAGGGCAATTTCTATGCCTATGCGTATTTACTCATTGTAGTCTGGCTATAGTATTATCATTTATCCTTCTTATAATCTTCGTTCCCTCTTATTCTTATTATTGTTATTACGATTATCGTTATTCTGTTGCTTTGCATGTTTCTGCACCAGAGACAAATTCCTTGTGTGCTTCATCACATTTGGCCAAATAAAGTACAGGTAGTCCTTGACTTATGACCACAATTGAGCCCAACATTGTTGTTACTAAGTGAGACAGTTAAGTGAATTTTGCCCCGTTGTACGACCTTTTTTGCCACAACGGTTGTTAAGTGTGAAAAATGGTCATAAGTTATTTGTTTCAGTGCCACTGAACTTTGAACAGTCACTAAATGAACTGTTGTAAATCAAGGACTACCTGTATTCAACTTTAAGTGAGCATTTACAGAGCATTCTTGAAAGTTTAAAGCAATGGAAGGGAGGTTTGTCGGAGAAGCAACCTCAAGCATTTGACTTCTGGTAAAATGGTATACTGTGACAATTATGTAACTTGTGACAACTGTTTTGTGATCTGTGACATGCTTGCAGAAATCCAGGGGCCTCTTGGAACACAATGAGGTTCATGCATATATATATATACCGTATTTCTCATATAATAAGGCTGGGTCTTATTTTTTTTTGAGCCCTGAAAAAATGGCTAGGCCGTCTTTTTTGGGGTGACTTAATTCCCCCCCCTTGCATCTTTGGGTGGGCGGGCGGCGGCGGCTTGGATGTTGACCTCAGCATTGGTGGGGCACTTTGTATCGGGGTCAACGCAGGCAGCACCATATCCGGGTGTGCAACAAAAGT